TTTTTTTTTTTTTTTTTTTTTTTTCTGGTCACTGGACAGTGTTTTAGACCCTAATCTGGAAAATTATACATTATAACCACTAATTTTATTTATTTTTCTGACATCAATAACCACTTCTCACACACATATTCAAATATTGTACTAGAGAATAGTGACTAATCACTCAGGGAAACAGATGAAACAGGTTGATCATCTGTTGAAATATTGTTTGTTTTTCCTTGCAGATGGTTATTAAAAAAAGTAGTTCCATTATAGTCCTTAATGCAATTACACATGTGGGTATGGTTTACATGAATAAAGACTACTTATGTGCCTGCTTTGAAAGACTCGGTCACTATGGTATTTCATATGGGACAGCTTTCTGATTATACCCAAGAGGACAAAAAGGACAGAGTTTGTATAATATTAGATATAATATGGCTTGAAACTTACGGCTAAGAGTAATTTCCATTCTCCTCCTTATTGCCGGTCTATTCCTTCTTGTTTCAACTAAAAATTTGGTTTTGTGAAAAGCTTTAAAAATTACACAGACACAAGCAAACAAAGCTTTGCACACTTTTACATAGTCTCTCAGACCTCAGAGGAATTACCTGAAATGGAATAAAATAAGATACATTTATTTCATGTAAGAGTGCAGAGCTGCAGTGTTTGTAAACTGATAAGAGGAGCTGGTTTCTGCAGAAGGAGGTAATCATGTGTCTGGGGCTGCCTGCTCCTGCTGCTTCCCTGTGGCTGAAACTGCTTCTCACTAGTCTCTGCGCCCAGCTGTATGAGCTAAACTGGTAGAGAACTAACCCTAAAAAAACTGGGATATTTTTCTTTCAGTCTAAATCCCTGGCTTACCGTCATCACCATCAAATGACAGTGTTCATGACAGTAAGGGATGAAAGAGAGTGGGAAAGGAGACAAGGGATCTTCTTTTTCCAGTAGCTGTCAGGCATTCAGTGGGTGTAGCTGTATCACCCAGTTGTGGCAGTGCCTTTGCAGAGAACATACAATAGAGTGTTTTTTATTTATTTTTTTTTTTTACCATTTCTACATGGCTACTGCAATGAGGAGGAAGCTGAGGACAGAAACAGCCAATGACTTTTATTTCATCTAGTCCATAGCAACATGATTTCTTCCTTTTTGTTAATGGCCACTGTGTGTGTTAGTGTATGACCTGTGCAACTTTCAGAAAAGAAAAGATTCAAATGGCTGAGCAGATAGGTGTCAGAATTGAACATGAATATTTAAGTGGTGAGGCTAGGAAATGGTGATCATAATGAACAATAGAATTCAGAAGAATTTCCTTGATTTAATGCTATGGTTTGTGTATAACACTGCATAGATGCTAAATATCTTACATTCATATTTGTGAGCTGCAAAATAATAATCTTGAACAGTAACTTGGCTTCTCGCCTGGCACAAACTCCCCACAGAAGTAGAGGAGTAAGGGCCATACCTTAGTGCCAGATGCATGGTGCAAATATGATTGAAATTTCATTCACCTGAAGGAAATAAATTTAAAGTTGACATGAAGAAACAAGAACAGGTAGAATTTATATATATATATTTTTAAAGGTCTTTGCTGAGTATGTTTAAACATACTCTTTGAGTACATTCAATTTTATGTAAAATGAGGAATAATAATTACCTATCTTTAGTTTTTCCAGGAGCATGATTATGAGCTCTTAAGTTTTTGATGTACCAATATTATACTGATTTATGAGATGATAGCTATTGATGTTTTCACTACATGAAAAATGCTATAGAAGTGGCAGGTTAATTACAGGATATACCATTAATGGGTGAGATATGGTTATGTCTGTTCTCCAAGTTACGCTCTCATCATATGGTGTTACATCTTCTGGAACATAATATATACATATACTTTTCCTGATGAAAATATTGGTATGCATAATCATCAGGAAAACTTCACAGTCTGTACACATAGATAACAGTCTCTTTCTTCAGTCCCTCTTCACATTGATTTCAGGAAGGATTACTTGCATTAACAGAGAATTCAGGACTGAGTGTTTGCAGTGGTTTTGAATAATGGATTTCTGTACGATTGCAGAAATGACATTCAGTTCCTCAAACATTTTCTGCAAAGCAAGCAGCATACTTTGTAGTCTGTGCTAGGTGAAAAAGAAACAAAACCAAAATGTGAATCTCCTGAAGTACTATTTTCCTTTTGTGGAATGGTTCAGTGGCTTAATGAGGTTAATTTGTATTAGGTTGTGGGAAATTCTTTATCTACTGTATAGACGCTTTCATTTCACATGAATGTGACAGATACTGTACTTACTGCACTGGAACTTAATTATTTGATAGCATAAGGAGCTGAAATCCCTACATTTCCTCTTAAGCAATATTCATTGCATATTGTAGATGGTAAATAGAAACTAGAGGATGACTGGCCTAGATTTTCAATGTTTGAAATATCTTTGTATACTTTTCTACGTTGTTTTGGTTTTATACCTAGAAAATTTCAAAGCAGCTTTATTAAAGATTCCCCAAATACTTTCAATAGCATGTGATTATTTTTTGTTCTCTCCCATTTTTCACATATCTTTTCACCCTTTGAAATGCTTTTCTGAACTGTACCATTTCATTTAATTACACTATTTTTCCATAAAAGCCTTAAAATGCCTGATTTTCTCTCCTTAATTACTACAGAACAAGTCTTTCAGAAGTTTTGTTTCGGTAGGAACATTTTGCTCACAGAATTTTACAACTGTTCTTTTAACTGGCTTCCATTCCAAAAGGCTACTGGTGCACACAGTACTTTATCTGGCATATTATGGCATTTCTGTAGACATGGTAGAGCAGTGTAAAGCTAGTTAATAAGAGCACGAGGAGACAAAATTTCAGTGATAAACATCAGAATACAAATAAGGACTGAAAACTAATATAGTGAAAAATGAAGTGGGATGAAGTTCACATCCTACCACTAAATTTACTTTCTTTTGTAGATTCAGTGTCTGGGGGTTTTATGTACCATTCATAAAATACAAATTCGTAAATTTGTGTTATCATGTGTGGATATAAGATGTGTAATTGCCTATCAAAATAAAAATTAATGTGAACTCACAAAAGCCACAGTGTTTGTTCTACTATATATTACACATTCAAAATATATCCTAGAATAATTATTTATCATATTTATAAATAAAAAACCCTATAACCATTTTATTAAGAAAAATTAATGTATTTATTTAAGTTGGTTTATTGGCACATATACCAATGAAATTGTTTAGAAAATAATTGAAAGTATTTTTTATAGCAGGCTCTGCTAGTAGCTGTAAAAATATTTGCTTATCATCAAAGGTATGAAAATATCAGAGATTGCAAAGTTCCGACAGATAGTATGAATTGCTTTCCTCACTCCCTATTGAATTAAAAATGATAAATAGTTAAAAAATAAACCATTTTTATGCAAAACAAGATTTTTTTTTCCTACATTTCGGACTTATATGTAACATTTCAGCATATCACAATATGATGTATCATGTGTTAATTGTTGGCATTGTGTTATATCATTTCAGCTGTAGTACAGCATGATGTGTTGGAGTATGATCTCACCTGACATAGTACGAGGCAGTGAGAGACCACAAAGATCTCAGACTGTTCAGTGAACATTGTTCTACTGAAAAATGCATAATTGCCTGAATGAAATGTTTTAATAGTTTAAATTTTGTTGGTGAAGACCTGAAGTCTAATTGCTGCCTGTGGCTTTAGCCACATCCTTGAGGTCCATAGACTACATCAAGATTTTTTTCCTTCTTCAGACCTTTTGGGAGCTGATACTGTGCAATAACAACTGAGTGGATTGGGAGATCAATGTTGGGCTTCTGAAAGCCTGTTAGTAGGGCCTCCTCCTGGAAGCTTTTGTTTATTGTTTTCCATTAGGAATATAAAAGGTAGCTGAAGCAGTCAGTACATAGGCTTTGCATAAAGCATACAAAAAGTTAAACAGCAGCAGAAATAGAGGACTTAGGGATACTGTTAAAACACATAATGCTTTTTTTTTTTTAATATTAAACATAATTAATATTTCTCCCTATATAAGGTTGTAGATCAATACCAGCTAAAAGTTCAGATTTTTTTCTCTTGTCTTCTGATGGAAATGAACTATCCCCAGAAATATCTGCTTTTGTATCAGTAACTGCTGAAAGTGCAGTTAAAATTACTATTTCTGGACTCCAGATCCTTTGGTAATGGGCTGCTGAACCAGAAGCAGTAGTTTGTTAGCTCCCGTCTTACCAAATTAGTCCTCTCATAGGACCCCAGTAGCATGATTCTGATGATCAGTTAAAGCAGCTTGGTTGGGGGTGATGGGTACTGGATATGGGATGAGGAAGCCTGTCCTGTTGCCTTACATGTTTGAAAAATTTGGTTCCCCATGCTCCCAGACTTAACTTTGCAGTGCCAGGCAGAAAGATTTAAAGTGTGATTCCCTATCAGATTTTATTTCATGTGTTGTTTGAGGACTGTCCCTGTATCCTGTCAGTTCTTCTCTGTTCATCTGTAGGAAGGTTTTGGAATATCGTATCAAACACTGCATCTGCCTTGGACGTAAAGTCTGGAGGCATGGATTCTGAAAACATATGCGTGTATGGGTATTTTAACATTGATACACTTCCAATTCAAAGTTTCTCCCTTAGGGAAAAGAAAAAAAAATTCTTGGTAGAGATACACAACTGTTTATGTGAGTCCAGAAATTAATATAGTTTCTAGGATAGTTTTATAATGTTTCTGTTTTGCGCTTCACTGGAACAGTCCCATATGCAGCCTTCTCCAATTGTTCATCTTCAGGCAGTGTTTTCTGCCTGAGATAGTTATACTACATTTGGAAATCAACTTTACATTCTCATGGTAGTACCATTGTAATGCTAGTTTCATGCATGACAGATTGACTTACAGAGCCAAGTTTAATGCATTTCTAATTAAAAAAACCTCCAAACAGTATGATGTTACCTCTCAATGTTATCAAATTGCTCGTCTTATTTTCACAGCTCACCATGTTAAAACTGGGACCTGTGAAGTGGTGGCACTCCACAGATGTTGCAATAAGAACAAGATAGAAGAAAGATCACAGACGGTGAAGTGCTCCTGCTTCCCTGGGCAGGTAGCAGGTACCACCCGGGCAGCTCCTTCTTGTGTCGATGGTGCGACTACTTCCATTGCTTCCTTTCATTCAGTGTTCATAGGGGGTTTTGCTGGCATAATGTCATCAATGTGAACCACTCCTTTGCAGTTGCCTATTTAAAATAAAAGCAGGAAACCTGCATTTTGAAGGGCATGCCCAAGGTGAATAGGAGGAGGATGGGAAAAATTAATTATTTGCTATTAGTCTGTGGAAATGCTAAGCAAAATTACTATATGCCAGTGAAAGAGACATCTTGAGAAGCTAAATTTGATCTAACTAACACTGTGCCCCCAGAGTTGTATGAAATTCGCTTAATTAAAAGTGTTTATGCAAAATCTACATGACCATATCATTTTCATGTGCTTCAGTCTTACATTTTATTTATATTTTTAATTTTGTCATACAGGAACAAAGAAGCAAATAAACAGAATACAGTTCTGGCTGGTTTTTATTCTTTTTAGACCAACACTATTTTTCTTATTCACAGTCCAATATTAATGTTTTACTTAACAAATCTGGCATAGGCTCATATGTTTTTATTTGGGAAAATACTAGCTGATTTTTCCCATCTCTTTCTCTAAAAGGGGAGCAGGATGGATTCACCCTTTACATGATCTCTTTACTAATGACATGCTGGCTGTCAGAGAAACTGTAAATATGTCATCATTGGGGAATGAATTTAATCACGCTATGCTAGACTATATAGTAGATCAGGCAAAATCATACTAACTCAAAAGAAGAGATTCTACTTAAAACTTTGAAATCTGGCTGAGCAAGAAAAAATGAGAGTTCCTGAACTGCAGTAAATTAGAAAAAAAACAACCCCACAGTAGAGATTGACTTTGAAGCACGTAGCACCTTGTGCAAATTGACACCTGATTTCTTAGGAAGGTTCTGAGCTGGCTGAAAATCACTGACTAGCTCTCAGTCAGTATATTTCTAACATTTTTCTGGAAAAGTAAAGAAATGCTGCAACTTAGTGACATAATAAAGTGTCCATTTCAACAACATGCAAATGTGGGTTTTTTTTCTGTCTTGTAGCTTCAATAGTGGAGCAGAAATGGTGGTGCCACATGCAACCATGTCTTGAAGGGGAGGAATGTAAAGTTCTTCCAGATCGTAAGGGATGGAGCTGTTCCTCTGGGAATAAAGTGAAAACAACTAGGGTAGGTATGATACCAACCTGACATGTTACCGACAAGTAAAAATCCAAAAGTGCACAGGAAATTGAGTGCACATAGAAGACACGAGTTGAGAAGACTAAAGAAGTGGGGGAAGAGTCATTCCGGGGTTGGACTTCCTGGTCCTGCACACATTTCTCAGCATACTTTGCAATTGCTTGAACATGGTAAGCAGTGTGCCAGACCTTCTCAGGTAAGCAGTGAAAAAGAGTTAACCCCTTCTTCAACTACTGGTAATGATCAAACATAATCTGATATATATTTTTCTTTGAAACCTGTTGCACAAAGTCTATACACCTTGCTAAGCTTTTTATTTACAGGATAGCAAACAAGTGCATTTTTACCAATAGCATGGAATTACTATGTTTCTACACAGAAACTGCTGAATATGGTAAGCATTTGATGTGTAATTATAGTGTGATATTTCTGTATTGTATGACTGGGATTTACTAAAAAATCTTTCTCCATTTGACACTTCTTATATTGGTTCAAAATGACATCGACAGAAATACATCTAACATTCATCATATACAATGCCTGAAAACAAAGTAAACGTGATGTCATCTCCGCATTTTAGTGGTTAGGAGAAACAGAAGAATAAAAAATTCTTTAGATAATCATTAAGCACTCAAACTTCCTAAAACTACAGTGTTATATCTCTATAGGTTCAACACAGTTCTTCATCAACATAAAACAGATTAAAATGCACTCTGAAGACACAAACACGTGTGTGTATGCATAAACACCTTCATCCCTACACCCCATCACACATACTGATGAATGGTTTTGCTTGTAAGTATTTAGTAATTGTTTGCAGTGTCAGGCCGTAATTTGCTAGTGTGGTGTTTACTCTATGCAGGTGTTTTAGTGTCCATGTCATTTGACTGAAAAACTTCCTTGCATGGGCACTAAATTTCTGGTACACCTTGGTTGTAGTGAAATGTAGTGTGCACTGACTGAATTACATTCCTTCTGTTCCACAGAGAGCTCTATATGTCTCAGTTTCTGTATATATAAGTCTAAAAAAATTTGACATTCTTTGAAGGAAGGCTACTTCCTAAATGTTTGAAACGTAATTCCACTCCTGAATCCTCTTTCAAATGTGTTTCTTCTGAAGCTAACCTTGCTTGAATGCTGCCCACGCTTAACTTTGTACATGCCAGTGCAAATCTGATTATAACGCATGTAAAATGTGTGTGCATGTATAATATAACCAAAAGGAACTAAATAGAATTAATAATAGTAATAGAAATACAAAAGGAGTTACATGTGTGTGTTTTGAAATTTGTCCTGGCTGCTACTACATGGTACTATTAGTGTTAAAGAATGCATGCCATTTTATATTTCTTGTGCTTAACAAACACTAAGTAAAAATCTGAGTCTGGATTACATTTCTGTAGGAAAAAAAGAAGTCACAAAAGGGAGAGATATGAATTAGAATCACCTTGAGGAGATTTCTTCCTAACACGTTGTCAGAAGATAGGTTTTTCTCCATTGGTCAAGGTTATGATGTTCTGTCCACTGTTAGGAATATACAGAAGCCCAAGGCTCTTGTCCTCAAGAGCTTGTGCCTCTGTTGCAGACTCATAGGTCTGGCTCTTTGCAGGAGATGTGCTTGTCCTCCATGGATGATGGCAATCCTTAGGACTCATTTCACACCTCTTCAGAAGTGATGCTATGAAAAAGCCAGTCCTTTTCTCTATCTGCCATCACATGCATGGCTTCAGTACAATGGCTACCACAACTTGGTTGCAGACCTGCCACGACTAAAAAGAAAATATAATCCCCTTAAATCTCCCAATTTTTTCTGCCTTCTAGTTTGTCCAGATACTGTATGTTGCCCCCTTCTTCCTTCATTTCCCCTGCAGCTGCAAAGCTGTTTTGAGACAATAGCAAAATTGAATTCAAATTTCTTACTGTAAGTTGGTCTAAGTCATTGAAACCAGGAGGCAGGTGAATGAAGGTCTGTGTCTTTCCAGATGCAGAAGGCTGAAATTTTAACAGATGTCATTCTGATGCCTGGAAAAATATACATTGCTATTGGAAATGTGAGGGATTCTTTGTGTTAAGAGTGTAGCTTATTATCAAAAAGCAAGTACTTTTCCCTAATATGTAATGAATACAATATTTTTGTAGCTCCTCTGTCTGCTTCCCAAAGTGTCTATAAACAAAAGGAAAATTTTTAAAGTGCTCTGTGATTTCAAACCCCCTTTTTTTGAGTAGAACAAAAAGAACTGTACAGAGAGTCAGTATTAAGAAGTCATGGATAATAAGTTTCTGATTGTAAAATGAAATAACCCATATGCTATTATCATGTATAATGTAAAAGCATAAAGAAACAAAGGGAACTGAATAGCTTGGGTGATTTAAGTGTATTGCAAAAAAGCCTTATGAAGGCTTTCCTGAAAGGCCTCAGAAAGTCTATATTCACCTCCAAACTTTTTCTGTGTTTGCCTTCTTGATGTGTAGAACAAGTAACCTAGTTAACCGCTGAAGTACTATCTTCTCTTCTACAGAATACCATGTTCAAAAGCAGCACCCATGATGCCACATCTTGAGCTGTTAATAGTTAAGCATTATGTTAGAGATAAAACCAGTGGAGGAAGGAGGTATTTTGCTTGTCTACCTCTGTTAGCATATTTAATCTCACTATTGTAAAAAATAATGATACCAACTTCCTAATGCTTATGGTATCAGCCACTAAGCGAAAAAGCCAAGTGAATAATGGGAGAAAATGAATTGGTGTTTAAAAATGTGGTCTACTTGAGGTTTTGCATTTTGTTCAGATATGGGTATCTAATAGGGTAATGAATAATGGATAAGAAATAGCATGAATGTTATGGTACTTGAATTTAAATGTTAAGAAAAGTCAGGTGGAAGTTATTTACCTTCAGAATGCAAAAGCAGGTATTATGGAAAGATTAAACTTTTTCCTAATTTGTGTGCATATTAGTGGGAGAGGACTAACATTAGGAGTTAACTGTGGAAAAGGAATGAATATGGGGGAGAAAGTGTGTATCAATGAGTACTGCGTTAACTTGTGCTGGCTTAGAGTTGTCTATTTTGGGTCTGTGTAGCCTGCAGGAGAGGAAGGGGAGAAAAGGTAATGACGATTTAGCTAAAACAGTAAGGGTTTTTTTTGCTTCATATAAAGAAAGCATTCCTGAGCATTATACCATAACAAAACAGGATGTTTAGGAACACAGTAGGAGAATTATGAAGGGATTATGTGCATAGCTGAGATTTACCAGGCACATTGTGTCATTCTCTAGACTGAGAAACTGTTGTGAGAGGAAGCAATTGAATTTTTTTCTATACAGCTAGACTTAATGTTTGGATAAATAAAACCAAAAATGTTGTCACATTGCCCTGTTAATATTTAAAAAAGGGAAAAATCTAAAGAATTTTTTTAACCTTGGAAATATTTTTTGTTCTTACCACCTTTTTTCTATTCTAATTATTTTCATTCAAAAAGCTCTCTTGGTTGTGTTTCCTTTCCTTTTTGCAAGATAAGGAAAATGTCTGTTTAAAACAGAGGAATTCTCCTATCAGTTGAAAACTACAAAATAAAGCAGTATTATGTATAAAATTGACAATGACAATAAAAAGATGCTAAAAGAGCCTTTTAGAAAGACTAGAAAACATTTTGAAGTCAGATAAGAGCTGAGGAGAAAGAGTTTCATATTTCTCTCAGTTATGGGGTTTATTCCACACCAGAGGTCTCTGGATAGGGGTTTTCTCAAGGGCAGATCCAGATGCCAAGTTCTGCTTATATTTTTAAGAACAGGTCATTGCATTACCTTTATAATAGAGGCTGACTTTAAATAAGTGCACCAGAAGCTGTATGTAACCTGTATGAAAGTGCATGCTGCAATGTCTCCTTGGGTCCCCGTTGCCCAGATATCCACACATCCACTCTGGGACCAGCTTTGGCTCCTCGGCTGCCTGTAAACCTGTGTGTCTTTTGTGTAGAAACACAGGTAAGGTGGTGCATCCAGGGTCTCATCTTGAGATCCCGGAGCTGCGACATGACTGTAGAAGCGTGCACTTGTGTCTGGGAGTGGGGAAGTGTCCCTGGGCTGATATTTTATGAAGAAATAGAGAAATATGTGTTGATTTTTTCATGTGAAACAGAATAGAATAGACTATTTCAGTTGGAAGGGACCTACAGTGGTCATCTAGTCCAACTGCCTGACCATTTCAGCGCTGACCAAGTTAAATCATGTTGATAAGGGCATTGTACAAATGGCTCTTAAACACTGACAGGCTTGGGGCATCAACCACCTTCCTTGGAAGTCTGTTCCAGTAAAAGAATGTCTTGGTAAAGAAATACTTCAGTCTAAACCTTCCCTGGTGCATCTTTGAACCATTGTGCAGTAATGAAATAGTACTTTGTCCTTCAGCTTTTAGTTTGATTTGATAGAACTGCTTGTGGAACAAGGCATAGTTTAACACTAAGTTCTGTTTAAAATATGTGGAATGGAATTTACTGGACTTTGCTTGTGTTAGGACTCTCCAGAGTGAGATGACTAGCCTAAGTTCTAGGCTGTCTTTTTAGTATTGGAGAGAATTGTTTCATTCCAGAGGACAACTCATTTTGTCCTAAAATAAGTCAGATGATTTCTCTTCTGGATGTGCTTATGTCTCCCTAATAACTCTAAAGGAAAGCTGTGATGACTAGGTTAGCACCTACCATTTAGATACTTAATGTTGAATAGGAAGATACTGGCTTGGAGATTTTATTCTCTTTGATGTGATCTTCAGGAAGATGATCAAAAAAGCCCCTTCATTCTTAGTCAGTTTGGGAAGCCTTGGACTTTAACCACTGTCAAATGCAATATAATGCAAATTTCAAAAGTGTTCATGTTCTGAAAATACACAGCTGTTGAGCTAAAATGGTGAATCATACCGTGATGAGCAACTTGTCCATTATCTATTATTCAGCAAAAACTGGCAACCAGTGCATGTCCTTTTAGAACTGACTT